CCCTGGGGGCAGCACTGCGGGGTCTCTGGAGCAGCTGCTGCTGGCCTGTTGCAGACGGGATACCGGGCCAGATAGGCTCTGGTGTGATCCAAGGGTGGGGGGCGATTCCTCAGCAGTAACCTGCCCCCGAACAGCTGTACAGATATTAGCCCCAGCCATCCCCATGTGCCAGAGGGGGAACTGGCCGCTGACGAGGCAGGGGCTAGTCCACGGAGGATCGCACTGGCCCCTGAGAACAATGGGCTCTCCTGGGGGCTGAGAGGCACCATGGCCTAGTGGTTAGACCACCTGCCTAGGGGCACTTGGGAGACCTGGACTAATAACCATGTTTCCGAATCCCATAGGAGGTGCCAGGCCTAGCCACAGAGACACAATGTCCTCTGATGGGCTCTAGACCCCAGGGAGCGCCTCAGCAGGGCTGCAGACTGTTTAAAGGGATAGCACCCAAGTCCCATTTGGGGAAACCGAGGCATGGAGTGATGCGGCGACTTGCCCAAGGCCACAGAAGGAGGCGTTGGCAGAGCCAGGCGTTGAAGCTGCGTCCACAGTGGGAGAACAAGGGGCTGTAAGCAGCTTCCTGGACATTGTTTAGACAGTTTAAGGCGGGAAGGGAACCGTGGGCTCCCGCCTGACCTGCCCAGCCCTGGCCGGAGGTTAGAGCAGATCTCCCCCAGGGGCAGCCCGGGTGCGAGCCACGAAGGTCTGTAGGGTTTAGGTGCCACCGCGGTGCACCAGCCTCCAGCTTGGCAGGTTGCGTTCGGCCCCTGGGTGGACGCGATGCCACTTGGCTCCTGGCATCCGGGCGCCTGTCTCCCGCCGGAGCCCCCGAGCAATGCCCACGCCGGGGAGACGGGGACTTCAGCCACAGGCCTCACGGCGGTGCCGGACATGGGCAGGGGCCTGGATGCTGCCTCCGGGATCGGGCCCCCAGGCGAGTTCACAAACCGCCAACTGGGTTGGGGGGAGGAAGCTCTCCCTTGTGAGCTGTGGGTGGGGCACCCTCCCAGCAGGTGGGGGACACCTGGCTCCAGCCCCCACCCTCTTGGGGAAATGGGGGGGGGTGAACAGGGATCTGTCAGCTCTCAGGTGAGAGCCCTTGTCCCATCTCAGGGGAGACAGGAAAAGGGTGGGATTCTGGGCCTGGGGCAGGACGATGCTTGGGGGAGACGCTCTCTCATTCCCCAGACTCCCCACCCCCCCCGCAGGGAACCTCCCTGGAGGCCGACAGGGCCGGCGTCTTGTTCTGGGTTTGCTCAGCGCGCCTAGCGCTCTGGGCACCACGGCAACACAAGTACTAAACCACCACCCAAGGGGGCAGGTCCTGACCTTCTGTCCCATCCCCTGCAGCTGGGAGCACAGGAGCTGACCCCCCCCGCGGCCTGGTGGAAACCAGCTAAGGTGCTGCACACAACATGCCAGTGCCACACGGCTTCGCGTCCAGCAACTTTCACTCACCGCCAATGGGACACGTCTCCCCGTCTGCCCTGGGGTAGCATTAGCCCCACGTCACAGACCCAGAGCCCAGGGGAGCTACTCCCAGCTCCCTGCTCCCGCCCTGGGCATGCCGAGACATTAACCATAGATCACACCTCTCCAGAGCCATGGACAGAACCAGCAGCCCCCAAATCCCCACTCCCCTTCCAGAGCCAGGGACAGAACCCAGGAGTCCTGGCTCCCAGCCCCCTGCTCCAACCCACCAGCCCCCCCTCCCTCCCCTTCCAGAGCTGGGGATAAAACCCAGGAGTCCTGGCTCCCAGCCCCCCCCTGCTCTAACCCACCAGCCCCCACTCTCCTCCCAGTCCAGAGCTGGGGATAAAACCCAGGAGTCCTGGCTCCCAGCCCCCCCCTGCTCTAACCCACCAGCCCCCACTCTCCTCCCAGTCCAGAGCTGGGGATAAAACCCAGGAGTCCTG